TATTACTCCACCACGTGCGAAACCAACGTGGTTGAACGATACTTTGCGACAGTGGGTTTCAGGAAACAGTCGTGACTAGCTAGTTGATTTTTCCAACGATGCATCGTACTATGGTAGTGAAGCAGTGAACTACGTCGTTGTACGGGAAACGCACCCCTCTGGTCCAAAATGCAGCAGCTAGAATTCTTTCTAGAACCAGGGAGAATGACAATATTACCCCGGTTCCGTCAACACTGCATTGGCTCCATATTAAATATTGGGTAACGCTTCCTTTTACAGTACAGTACAGTGTACTTGCAGTGTATTTACCTAGAAAGTACTTGCTAATATAAGGTTAGTACATGGAACAGGGGTAGGTTTTGGGGTAGGTTCAGGGTTAGTACTAGTTATTACCCAGTAATTGTAGTTACTAAAATAAGTACATAGTATTTACATGGGTAACTGGACTGTAAAAGGAAGCGTTACCAAATATTGCATACATTTTAAAATATTGCTAATTACTTATAACATACTAAATGGTTTTGCTCCTCAGTACCTGAGCGAGCTCTCAACGCATTATATTCCTTCATGTCTATTGTGGTCTCAAAACTCTGGCCAGTTGATACCTAATATCAAAATTGACAGCAGGCTGTATCCTTTTCCTATTTAGCACCCAAGAAGTGTTGTTCAGGAGGCAGACACACTCTGTCAGTATAAATCTAGATTTAAAACATCTCTGTAACCTAGCATACACATAACACACTATCACATTTTTTTGAGTCGCCCTGTAGTCAATAATTGTATCCCTTAAAACTCATATTTGATCACCAATATTACATATTAAAGAGGTCATGAACTGGCTTTTTACATTTTATCATATTGTTGTCTGAGGTCAAGTTATGACGTTCGCTTGGTTTTTGCATTCAAAAACATCAAAATGAATAAGTAATAGGCTTTTTTGTACACTAGTTTTGAGCCTGGCTGAAAAATGCTCGGTTTTTATGGGCGTCTCGCACTAAAGAATTGGAAGTAAAAAGCCGTCTGCTGTGAGTGGATAACAGTTTTGCATTTTATAAGAGTTTCAACTCACCCGTCGATGCACTTGGGGGAAATTGTTTTGAAAACGTCCAATGTTGTAAAATGGCAACCGGAATTATTCGCCCATACATGTTCGACCCAGAGTCCGTGTGTTGCACCATTCTTGTCAGATCCAATATAGACGGCACAGCACCGTTCTTTAATCTTAATCGGTCTGCAAATCCAGTCCTGTTTACAAAACAATCCTCAGTCAAATGAAGTGAACAGACGGACAATGATTTACCTCATCAGCTGGAACGTCATTAAAAATAAAGTTTATCCATGCAGTCCTATTGGAGGTAGGCCTTTGTTATTTAGCTATGCGTGTAATGCGCGAATCGGTGGGCGGGGCTAAACCAGCCGTGTTGAAGTAGGCGTTGATCTTCTTCTGATAAGTCGATAAGTTAGTGGTGTTTTATCCTCTTTGACGTCATAGTTCCCCACTTTGCTAAACAAGTTGTTGGCAGAGGCTGGTGCAAATAAAAGCTTTTATTGGACCAACAAGACGTTTTCAGTTCTGAAATTTACAGGATATTCTTATAATATGATGACCTCTTAGATGTCAAAAGCTCAAGGAAAATTTGATTTCTCAGTTCATCACCCCTTTAACACTAGAAGTGCCAGAATTCCAAAACTACTAGAACGGCCACAAGCGGTCATTTTGACCGTTAGATTCAAAACAGTGTTGATGAATAATTTTCGTAATTATTTTTGTCAACCACATTTTTTCAAAGACGAAAACGAGACGATAACTAAATAAAAACAAGGTGTGAATGACAAAGACTATGACGAAAATGTTAGATAGTGACGATTTGCGACGCGGTCAAGGCTATAATAATAGGACTCGCAGAACTAGTGAACAGCCCATGCAGCAAAACAAACAGCGCAGGACAGGGCAGCAGAGCTCACCACGATCATCCGACATGAATGGAACATCTGGATCCGCCGTGTCTGATGATAGCAGCCGTCTCTTTTTGCTTGATGTGGACTCTGACTCTGAATCACTCTCTGATGAGGAGGAAATGTTAACTTGCACCCAGGAAACGTCGCTGTCACTCCACCTCCGATTGTTCCCCTGCATCCGAATTATAGATAACTGTAGTCCGGTTTTATTTGCTTATTTCTGATCAACAACTAATGTAGAAATTATTATATAGCAAACACCGCTACAGAGGTGACCGGACGGACCATTCTGTTGACAGTTGAGAGAGAACACGATCAACCGCGGGATATTTAACAAAAAAATACCGCAAAATTCAGTGCGGTCAATATGACCGTCTATGGCCGAAATAGGTAAATATGTTAATTTTTTTTGTTTTGCCTTACGTTTACGTAACTTAATTTATATGAAAAGCATTTTAAATGAAAATACAGACAATTTTAGGAAAAGTCAGGTACCAGCAGGATTTTATTATTTTTTTCAACAAAGTTATTGTAGATATAAAATTCAAAACGGTCAAAATGACCGTTGTGGCCGTTCTAGTGTTAAAAAAAAATTTCCTAGGAAAAAAAAAATATTCATGCCTTAAAATAGCTTTAATGTAACTCTACACACTTGCCTCATTTATAGTACACACAGTTCTATGAAAATGCAAATTAGCCCCTTCTCTAGCCAGCTCAGAGATCCACTCGTTGACGATTACACTTTGATGTGATTGGTTACACGGTAGTTTGTGATGTCAGAAACACCTTCGATTTCAAACTGCGTTTTTAAGATTGCCTTTGGTTCACTGCAGTTTTAAGGAGAAAATGCTCAGCAATGGTGTTGACATGAATTTGCACATGGTTTGTCTAAAACCATATTAAAAACACCACATAGATGTATAAACAACATTAAAAACTTGATTTTCACCACAGGGAGTCTTTAAATTAAGATCTGTAAAAGGACTGTACGGCTGCATAAAGTAGGTCAACCAGAACTGGGAATCTGATGTATTTTTTACATCGCTAGAATGGCATCTACGCTAATAACTGCACCTAGACATGACCACAACACAGCCCTGAATGTCAGCAGAGACCATGCCAACTAGACAATACATTGTGAATACCTTATCAACACGACAGCAAAGACCAAGAGAACACCTACAAGCTTCGTCTCCACACAGGCGTGATGAATTTTCAAGCAAAAGCATCTGGATGAAATATTTCAAATGAATCTAATCCACAATCAGTTTTCTGACATGTGATTCAGAATTGAATTAAACCAGAGCATGTCCGTTTCATTGGCCAGAAGAAAACTTCTCACTAGTTTTTTTTTTCTCCATCATGTCACCTGATGCAGTTTGGGTTTCTTGCCACTGTCACCTCCGACTTGCTTAATATTCAACAATATTATTCATCTGAATGATTGACAGTATGAGAACTGAACTGAGTGGATACTATAATAGCAGATTGTTAAAACACCCAGCAAAGGGACAGATAAGCACAGGTTGTGTCTCTCGCATGGTAGATTTATCACAAAATGAACAGTTTACGCTAGCTTTCAAAGGCTTTACTACAGGTGTGGCTCACTGGGATAATCTCACACAGAGTGGGTGACCATGGCACGCCAGCTATTGCATTAATTTCAGGAAATAGGCCACCTGAACGTATGCACACATGCACAAAGGCACGCTCAGACACAGCCACAGCTGTCAGATTAATTTCTGCAGATATTTTCCACCCAGGGTTCTGACACACAAAGTGGCGCATAGCTGCAAAGGTGCTGCTGTTGGCCTGAGTAACATCCCCCTCCCTCCTTTTCTCTGTCTTCATCTTCCTCCCACTCTTGCTCCCTGTCGCATGCTCTTTGATGAAATCCCCCAGCTGTCTCGCTCCTCTCACACTGCAGTCTGCCAGCCACGTATCCTCTTCAATTGTTGAAAAGCACCTTTCATAGGACACTCCTTATCTTGAACAGATTCATGGCCTTCTAAATAGTACCTGCTGTACTGAAGTGATGTGAATACTGTAAGACATCAGTGCTGTGACGCAGGCAATTTTTTAACACTAACAGCAGAGTTCGATGTCGAATCTGGATGCTAAAACATTCTTAATGTCTTGGTTCATCGGTCCCAAGACTTGCATGGACTTAGAGACGACACAGCATGGGAGTAAAGGGGAACAGTCATTCTGAATTAAATCAAACGGTTGCCAAAGACAAGTAAAGCGTTGCCAGGGAACAGGTTGCTTAGTAACAACAAAGAGTTGACTGGTATTCAACGTCTTAATCACAACATACCTAGCCTGTCAAACCGCGTCCTTTAGCACAGGAAGGTTTAAACATGGAAACATTTATTTGCAATAAATCACAGCTTAAAGGGGCCGTATGATATT